GGAAAGAATTACCCTTTGCATTACGGAGCGTTCGTTCCTCACGGTCCGAAGAGCATTTTGGACTATTTCACAAACGGGAAACCGAAACGGCAACCTCCGGTCTAAAATAGACTATTCTAGTCGTCGCCGACTGAAGAACAAGAAGAATCACAAAACCGGAAATGGCGCCGGCAACTTAACCTCACTCACCCGTCCGAGCTCATCATTAATAAAGTTTTTCGATTCGACACTGTTTCAAAATCAATTTAGCTTGTGTCAAATACTTTTTGTCAAAGGAAAGAAATATATTTTTGTTAGCATTGATGGCACAGGAGCTCATCAAGAGGGGGTGGATTCAGGGCATCGGAGGATCCCCCGAGCGCAGGCGGCGCTGCAACTGTATCAGCTCGAGGTAAGACTTCCAGTTATATTTTAATTCATTGTTTAAAATTTACACTGCAGACTTACCTACATACTTAGCATGTCCTTACAACTGCGAGCTTGCGAAGCGTGTGCCTATGGATGCACTTAGTATGTAGTTAAGTCTGCAGTGTAAATTTTAAACAATGTCTGTAGTAACTGCAGCATCCAGAATTGTCTTTTGACAAAAATTTGTTTGTTAACTTTGTTAATTTTCGTTGTACTACAATTTATTTCCTTGTCACAATAGAAGGTGTAATAATTTTGTTTTTGCAAGGGTCACAAGTCTTTCTCTTTCTTTACAGCTGGAAGCGCAGAAGAATCTGCGGAGGGCGAGGGCGGAGGTCGAGCGGCTGCACACCATGAGGGCGACCCTCGAAGAGCAAGTAGCCAGAGGGTCCCAAGGAGCCAGAGGAGGCCGAGGGGGCGGATGAGGGCGCGGCAGCTCTGGCTACGTAGCAGGGGCCATCAGGGCAATCCTGAGCGCAGCAAATTCAGGGTAAGTGTTTTTGTTCTTGTTTCGTTGTTTTGCAGTTTGGAAGGGATTACTTGGTTGGTCTCGATATGATAGAATAAATACGGTTATATTAAATATATTCAATATGTTTCTAATCTGGTCTTTAATCAATCTTGTTTATCTTACAGCTATGGAAGGCTCTATCGGGGAAGGCGCCGGCGGCGGGCAGGACGCGGCGGACGCGGTGGTCGGGGCTGGGGCCAAGAAGCTAACTAGAAAGGGAGTATGGGGCGATTTGTAACAGGGGCGATTCGTAACAAATGCGTAAGTGGAGGGAGCAGAGGAAAATCTGAGTATGGCCCCTCTTTCGCTTCAAGTACAGGGTCCTTGAACAATCGAAGCGGATGTGATCGGTGCTCAGGTATAGTTTTGGGGGGCGTCTGAAATATAGGGTACACTGAAATTTCGGCATACAGGCAAATCTTTTATTTTGAGTTCTAGGAAGTTTCTGTCTGAGGCTCCCCAGGTATGAATCACCATCGAAGTACCGTTGGGGCCTTGAAGCGTGACCCCTTTACAATGTAAACACGTGGCATAAGTTGCTTTTACTTTGTCCAGTCATAGTCGGGGACGGATTTCTTGCGTAACAGGCATTTGGGGTGATTCGTAACAGACCCGTATAAAAACAAGAATTTAAGTAGTTTTTGCTGTTAAATGCTTGAATTATTTCTCGAATCATCTGCTGTTTTAATCCAATACATTTACACAGCTCGAAATGCATTTTAAAGCGAGTTATTCTATGCTTTCCTCTAAAATGGAAAAAAGTGAGGTTAGGATTGACATAGCCTATCAGTTAGTGCTGAGGCGGTCAACGGCAGCTTGTAATGTAGATTTTTAGACGTCTGCAGGACACCCGAAGAACAACTGGTGGAGGAGATAACATTCCCGACGATGTTTCATTTAATGTGTAGGATGTTATGAAAAGCCCCATGGCTGTTACAAATCACCCCATGCTGGGGCGATTCGTAACAGCATGCAAGGGTTTGGAAAACGTCTTAGATTGCAAAGATTACGGACGCCAGATTGATCCAATGGAGCTGCACAGTCTGGATGAAGGGCCAGACTGCTCAACTGGCACAAGTTTGACACCGATATGCAGAATGTTCTTAATTTTGTATAGAGAATTCCGAAATCTGTTACAAATCGCCCCATACTCCCTTAGAGAGCTGTCGCGAGTAGACTTAGATCTGTCGTGAGTAGAGAAGGACTGTACGTTTTTAAGATCTTTTGCGGGGGTTGGGGCTTTAAATTTTTCTTTTTCCGAGGGGCCTCCTCACATTATTCCCCTTCGCCCAAAGGCCCCTGCTTTTAAATTACGGGGGGTATTTGAATTTTTTATAAAATATTATAAAAAGGGCCCATGATTTTTTTTCCCCCCCAAAATAAAATTAAACCAAATTAACTTTAAAATTTTAGAAAAAACTAAAAAAAGGGGAAACGTATACTCCACCGTTACTTTTCCGAAACAAAAAGCGTTTTTAAAGTTGAACGAAACCCCGGGATTTCTCCGAAATTTTTTGGAAATTTTAAAAACGAAGAAAAAAACCTTGCCCCTTTTAAAAGGGGGGCGGTTAAATTATTTTAAAATTTTTCACATTTTAGGGAAGCCCCTTTTAAACATTAGTGAAAATTTTGGGAAAAGACCTTAAAACCCCTCCCCTCCTACCCAAAATTTCCCATGCGGGAGGGGAAGGAAATTTTGGAAAAAATTTAAATAAATATTATAAAATTTTTCCGGGCCCCAAAGATTACCCCTTTCCCCCCAGAGGGAAATAAAAAAATATCCAAAACCAAAATTATATTAAAATTCCATAAAATTTTTTGGGAAGAAATATTAAAAAACCAAATTTCCCGGGGGGGTTTCCTTTTCCCAGGGTTTTCCCCTTTTGGGCAAACCCCCAAAAAAAAGGGCCGTTTAAATTTCCCAACTTTCCCATTAACGGGAAAAGGGAATTTTCAAAATTTTTGGAACCCCTTAAAGCGGGGGAAAAAATTTTTTGCCCCTTTTAAATTTTAAAAATGGACGTTAAATTTTGGTTCCCTCGGGTGAAAGTTTTTGGCCTTTAAACTTTCGGGGAAAAAAAATTTAGGAAATTTATTGAAAATTTTGTTCCTCCCCTGACCCTTAAAAAAGAAAAAAAAAAGGTGCCCAATTTTGGGAACCCATAATTTTCGCGAAAAGTATTTTAATTTTTGGGAAATTATTTCCCATTTTTTATATTAACGGGGCCCCAAAAGATATACCCCCATAAAATTAACCATTGGCGAAAGTTTTTAATTTGAAAATTTATGGGGGGGGTAACAATTTTAATTAACTTTCCTTAAACTTATAGGGAAAAGGCCTATTTTTTCCCACATTTTTTATATTTTTTCCCTTTTTGGGAAAAGGGGGTTCCTCCGTTTGCCCAAAAAATTTTGGGGAAACCCCCTTTTTAAAAGGGGAAAAGGGGAACCCATTTTAAAAATTTAAATTTTTGGGAAAAAGGGGAAAAGTTTCCTTTAGGGCCCCGGGGAAAATTTTGGGGGTGTTCGAAGGGGTTTTAACATTTTTTAAATAAAAAAGGGGCTTTTTGTCCCCATTTTTTAAATTTTTTTAAAACCCACATGACAATGTATAAATTTTTTTTGCCACATTTTTTTTTCAAATTTTGAAAAATTTTTTTTTTCCCCTTGGGACAAAAAAATTTTCCCATAATTTTTTAATGTGCCCAATTTTTTCCTTTTCGGGGACCCCCCAAAATTGTATCGCCATCGGATGTGTTTAAAAAATTTCATATATCCAGGGGACAAAAAAAGAGTGCCATGACATTCAGTGCGTTCAACCCCCAACTGTAACTGACACTGCACCCGATCATCGAACCGAGATGGGGCAGATCCTACATAAACCCGGGTTTTTCCCCAGACCGGGTTTGGATAGGGGAATCGAACCCCCTACAAAAAATGGTCGATTCCATCCCAAACCCCTAGAAATTCATCTCCCCGTTTTGGGAAATGACATTTTTTTTCGGGGTAGGGGTCATTATAAAAAGGTCCCATGTAAAGGGTTTTGCGATATCTGGCCCCGTTTGGCTGTGGTAACATAGCAAAATTTTCACTTTAGTCACAACCCAGGCTTTTATTTTTTCCCCGTACTTACTGAAAGTTTTAAGGTGTTTTCTGAAAAGGGTTTTGTTTTGAAACAAGAGGGGGGGAACACGATGGAAAGGGTTTTCGAGAAAATTTGGATGTATTTTTGATGTGTTTTTCTCCATTACAGGTGATTTTTTTTTTTTGGGAAAAATTTCCGGCTGTTTCCCCCAAAAAAAGGCAAACCCCTTATTGGGGGTGTAAAAATTTTTTCCCTTCCCAACCCAGGGTTTTTCCGTGAAAAAGGCCAAAATTTTTCCCGCCTGGGGGATTTCCCCGGGCGGTTTTCCTTTGGAAAATATTTTTTCCCTTTTCCCCTGGGAATAAAAAGGGGGCTTTTTGCCTTGTAAATGAAAAATTCCTAAAAGGTTTCCCCCCTTTCCCCCCTTAGTTTTGGGTTTTGGGAAGCATTGACCTCTTTTGGCATTCCTTGGGGTTTTTCCCAAAACCAAAACTTTCCCGGGGGGGTTTTTAATCTCTTTTTCGGGGTAAAGAACCATTGTCGAAAAAAATCTAATAACTTCCAGTTAGTACGGAGAGAAAAAAAAAAGAAAATGTCCAAATGTGACGACAGTGAAAACTTCGCTACGTTATCACAGCCAAACGGGGCGAGATATCGCAAAAACCCTTTGATGTGGGATCTTTCATTATGACCCCTACTTACCCGTAAAAGAAGTTTCATCCAAATCGAAGAGATGAACTTCCAAGAGTTCGTTGGTTCGGCATAGAATCGCCCGAACGTTAGGTAGAACTTGGTAAGGAACATCTCAGTGTTTTGACCACACGAACCTTTCGTTGTAAGTTTGTATTTGAGCAAAATCGCGTACAAATCTGTACGAAAAGTTCGTGTCCACAAAAAAATACTGAGATGCCTGGAACGAAATTGGTACAAAAACATTTGGTGCGGAACACTGCGCTGCAGGTTTAGGTTTACACATGCTAAATAACAACTATCAAATTTACTCTTATCAGAGTAGATATATTTGAAAGGTTCGCTCTTCTCAAACAAAGGCGGCTTTTTTTTCAGCACAGCAAACAAAAGAGACATACAAAGCTTACGGTACTAAATCAGGACCAAGCACATAAAAATATCTGTGGTCAACAGAAGTGCGCATCGTTACAATGAAAAAGTTAGATAAAAAGCACGTTTTACCAAAAGTACATTGAGTACAACATTGAGTACTGAGACGGCTCAACAGCATCACGCCTTCTGCTCTTGCACAAACACGTCAAACTGGAGTTTGACGCTGCTTTGCCACCGCACCACGAATCGGCAGCCGACCGTCTCCGGGGGCGGGACGACCTCTCCGGACAGGATCCTGCCCACCGCCAGCTGGGTGGCGGCCCGCTGCGGCTGGGCAGGCGGGGCGGGGACGGGCTCAGCGCCCTCCGGGGCCGCAGCGTCCTCGTCCGCAGCCAGCTCCCCTCGCGCCCAGGCAGTGTGGCTGCCGCCACCGCACAGACGCAGTACCAGGTGAATGGTCGACCGATGCCCAACGCCGTAGTCGAGGAGGGTGCAGGCCTCCAAAAATTGACGGCCGGCGAAAATGAGTCTCTGTTGGTCGGGCGGAACACCTTCTGAGGCCATGATCGCCTGCTTCACCATCTGGAACATGCCGCGGTGTGCTGCGTGAGAATCCACACAGAAGCGTAAGAAGCTCAAGACAAAAGTAAAAAGCCTTCACGAGGAACTATTGAAACCTGAACCGAACATGGTTTGAAGTTTCCTTCACTGGTAAAACACAGGCGCAGGCGGGTCATTCCCCGCCGAATCGACGAAGGTCTGTTTTTGAGGTCGATGGATTCGGTCCAAACCACTTTTAATAGATGCATGGGGACCCAAAAAAAACCCTCTAAGAGGATTTTTTTTAAAACATTTAGGGAAATTTAGTGAAATTTTGTGAAAACAGTACTTCTTACCTTATCTCATGAAAGTGTGATGTGACCCCTATGGCTTCTATTTCCATTTCAACTAGCTTGGAGGGGTCCTGAAAACCTTCTCCTCTGACTGGAGGATAAAAATAGAAAAATTCCATTTGGTACATAAGAAAATTGATTTTAAAAAAATTGAAAAATGAGCATAATATTTTTACGTGGTTTCATAGTTTTGATGATACTTTATCCTAAGATAAACTTCAGGTGACTGCTTAAAACCACATAAATTCTGGCAATATCTTAACTGAATCGGGTGGATAACACTTAAATTTGAGCTAAAATTTTACTTGAAACTTATGACGACAAAACGCATTGACTCTACAATCAATTTTCAAAAAAGTGTAAAAAATACTTGTAAAAGCAGAGGAGAATGCGCACATTCATTATGCAAAATCAGCTCAAATTAATTTTAGATAATATCTTTGCCTCAGACATCTTTCATAAATAAACTTTCAAAGAAGATTACAAAATGTATAAAAAAATTCTTTGGGGATTAACTTGGAGAAACACTTCTGGTGTGCTCTGGAGTCCTAAATGCCTTTAGGACTTGGGCCCCCAATAATTTTTTTATTCGTTTTGTAATTTTCTTGGAAAGTTCATTTAATGTATGAAAGATGCCTGAGGCTAAGATATTATCGAAAATTAATTTGAGCTGATTTTGCATAATGAATGTGCGCATTCTCCTCTGCTTGTAAAATAGAGCATGGGTTTTTATTCCGCTTGAAAATTTAGTGTACTGACTTTACGCTTGAAAGGGGGAGGTAAGAATTTCTGACCTAGCTTGAGTTTTCTTGGCTTCAAGCGTAGCTCTTGTTAAACTTGAAGTCAAGAACAGGAGTACGGTTTAAGATTTTACGCTTGAGGACAGGCATAATACTACGCCTTAGTTTTACCAGTACAGACCACTTGCAAACAATGCAGACTCTGTAGAGTCAGCTGTTTGAAACAATGGACCACCATTACCACTAATGCCACCATGTACTCTACAAATCAAAGAGTGTACATGGTACGCTCTAACTGGAGCATGCCTGCAAGCACGCTCTAACTAGCGCATGCCTGCCAAGCATGCACTAACTAGTGCATACATGCCATGTACACGATAACTGAAGCGTACATTTTCTGCATAAGGGATAGGGAGTTTTCTGCATCAGGAAGCGTGTACATGGCATGTATGCACTAGTTAGTGCATGCTTGGCAGGCATGCGCTAGCTAGACCGTGCTTGCAGGCATGCTCCAGTTAGAGCATACTATGTACACTCTTTGATTTGTAGAGTACTCTATGGATTAAGGCTCAAATGGAGAGCAAAATATACATAAAATAAGGAGTGCTCAACATTTTGAACATCAATGGGTTGGATTCTTGAAGTGTTTAATCTGCCCTGACTTCAAGATGTATCATTAGTAACTTTTTGACCTTTGGAAATTGATTTTAGAGTCAATACGTTTTGTCGACAGAAGTTTCGAGTAAAATTTTAGCTCCAAATCAAGTTTTATCAACCCAATTCAGTGAAGATACTATTGCCAGATGAAATATTTTGTGGTTTTAAGCGGTCACCTAAAGTTTATCTTAGGATAAAGTATCATCAAAATTCTGAAACCACGTAAGAATATTATACTCATTTTTCAATTTTTTCATAAATTTTCTTATGTAAAAAATGGATTTTTTTTTATTTTTAACCTCCAGTCAAAGGAAAAGGTATTCAGGACCCCTCTAAGCTAGTTGAAATGGAAATAGAAGCCAAAGGGGTCTCATCACATAAGATAAGATGAGAAGTGCTGTTTTCACTAAATTTCCCTAAATGTTAAAAAAAATCCTCTTACATGGTTTTTTTTTTGGGGTCCCAATGCATTGATTTAAAGTGGTTTGGACCTAATCCATCGACCTCAAAAACAAACCTTCGTCGATTCGGCGAGGAATGACCCGCACGTCCGACATAGTAGAGCTTTACCTTTAAAAGCCCTACACAAACAAATTCACGCCCTTCCCCGACTCTCAGGCTGTTGCTGTTATTGACTTTTTGTCGTTTAGAGAAAATTATTTTACACAGCAATAAAAAGTACTATTTTCTAAATATCAATGAGAGATTTCATTCGTTATATTGACTCTCTAAGTCAATTTCCTATTGACAAGGAGTCAATAAGTAATTGACTTTACAAACAAAGTCAAAAATAGATGACAATGTAGTCTTTATAGTGAACAATATTGTACATGGTTACAAAGGAAATACTACATAATATTGGTGCTTATAAACTACGTAAGCTAAGGACAAAAAGTCAATAATGGCGAGAAAAAAGGTCAATACGATTCTGAGAGTCAACGGGCATTAAACGATTCACGGCGGTCCAAGGGCGAATCGTTTACGCCCCGCGTCGACCAGTTTAAAATCAATATGATCTGCCCAGAAAAAAAAACGGGAGCGAGATCTAAGGACGAACCTAGGTTAGGTACAGGTTCAATAGCCCCGTGTAGGATGGATTTAGACTGCAAGATTAGCGAACCTTTTGCCATACCCAAGAAAATCAAATCTGACACATCAAAATGCGCTCTTTCGGTTGGGGATGTGACAGACTCCGTGCGGCGTTTCAAATAGCCACTGGAAAGCTTTCAAGTTAGCAAATCGCAAGATAATTGGGAACTTACTTCTATGGTATCAGATTGCCGGCAGTGCAGCGTGGTTATCTTGCCAGTGAGTTGCTTGACGTAAATCTCTATCGCCAAGTCAGGGAACGGCAATCTGCGCATAAGAGGTCACTTAGAGAAACTAACTCCAGACAAAAGAGAAACACTTGGCTAAACACCTGCTCAGAACTGAACCAAACTTAGTTTGTGCGTTCCTTCCATCAACACTAACATGTTAAAAGATTCTGAAAATTGAGACCCATTTTGGTCAGACTTAGTAGTCTGAACCTGTGAATAACACTGAGAATGAAAGAGTCACCACCATCGCCCTACCATTGGGTAACGCACGCATCGCCGCTCAAATTTGGGTGACGTGCCAGCGGTGACCAAATTTTGGGCAGTCATAAAATCGTCGCCCAAATTTGGGTAACGTCGTCGGCGACGCCGTGAGGTCCCCGATGACGTCCTCCCGGGGCCACCACGATGACCCCATGTGGTGTTGAGGCCTCCGGTCATCGTGGTGGCCCGGAAGGACGTCATCGGGGACCTCCCGGGGTCGCCGACAAAGTTACCCAAATTTTGGGGAAACCCAACGCCTGTTACCAATTTTTGGGTGATGAAAATTTTCCCTCACCCAAAATTGGGCAAAGAAGTGCATCACCCCTTTAAAAGGGGGTGGTGGGACCCATTTATTTCAGTGAAGACTTGATTCCCGGGTGGAAGGATCTGTAGTGAAACTGCAGTTTAAACATAGTGCCAAAATCAGTTCCGAAATGCAGTTTTTGGTAAGAACAAAGTGCAGAATAAGTCCAGTTTCAGTTAGCTTATGGATCTGTGTTTGCTGTTTTATGCAAAAATGCTTTCTAACTGAACTGTATTTATTTACCCGGTATTAAGTACTATCTGTAGTTAAAAAGTGAAGTTAAAGTTTTTAATATTCTATTTTAATAGTCCACTACTGAAGATCCGCCTCACTTAATCGCAGCAGGATCTACAAAGGAAATAAAGTTTTGCTATACTTTTTTTCCCAAAGACAAACTGTTGAATGTTTTACTACAATTTGAGTAAATTTTTTGTTAAGGTAGTTAAGATGTCAAGCACTGCAACTTGAAATGAAGAAACAAAAAAAATTTCATTAGTGATTTAAAAAAATAAGGATTGAAAAGGAAATATCTCTTAGAAGTTTTAGTTATTTCTTTTAAAGGTTTACGTTGAAATACTTTACGTTGAGACTTTTTGAAGACACGACTAAACTTCATATGAAAACCTATATGGTGGATGTAACCAATTCTTAAATACTATCTGGTTTCTGTTGCTTTTTTTATAATGTTCCTATTGGGCAGGTAGCATGTGACAAAGTATCGTGGAAATCAACAAGCCACAAAAATTTTGCCAGCTTGTCGCCAAACAAAGTCAAAAAAAGTGGCATCAAATTCATTATGACTGGATGATAAAATGTCAACACAATAAAACTAAAAGCATTTTAGGCAGTGCGTCTCAGAAGTTAAAAGGTAACGACTCAATCGTTGAAAATTAAGACCTTGAAGGCTCTCTGAATTAAATCACTCCATGGTGTCTTGGTTTCTGAGACAAATTCATTAAAAATTACTTTTAGGACAAGTAAATTTCACCCCTAGTACAGAGTGGCTTATAGAAAACTGTAGTTTTCTAGCATTTAAAATTTCTAGTTCCCGAGGAAAGCCGGCCTTTCTATGTGGTCGAGTAGCCAAGCCCCTATCCTAAAGGGAAAGCTCAGTAGTGCAGTGGTCAAGGCCTCTGCTTCACAAGCCATGGGTCCGAGGTTCAACTCCCGGCAACATCCAAAAAAAAACACACGATTAACACGAAGTCAATCCCCTAAGGGGTAGAGGGAGGAAGAGTCTCCTCAAAACAAGGTTAAAAAATTTAAAAAAATTTTAAATTTTTAAACCCAAAAATTTCAAACTGCAGATTGTCTTCTCTTTTGAACTAACTCTGGCTGTGTAACTAAACTACAGTAAAACTGTACTTTGAACTATAGTCAAATGATCTGAAGACTAGGACAACCGGGTCAAAAACTATAGTTGTCCGAAATAACTGGTACTTTTTTGCAGTTTAATTGTAGTTGACTACACTTCAACTGTAGTTGAACTACACTTTACCTGCAATTATACAATACATTAAAGTATTTAAGGTATGAAAAAAAATATTTAAAAATTAAATTTAACATTACAAAAAATCTATATTTTTTCAATGTAGTTGAAACTGCAGATCCTTCCACCCGGGTTGAGGTGAACAAGCTAGCTTTTGGCCGATTCATATCCAAAAGAATGTGACACAATGCTCAAGCGAGCGTGGCATTTTGTCACGTTCGTTTCAACATGATGTCACGTGTCTCCTTCCTGGAATAAGAGTCTCATCTTAGCTTTTGGACGCTTTGACTGAAAGCTTGGTTAGGTTAGGTCAGACTCGAAGTGCTTTAATATTTGGACTAATTCTCGAAATTTAGAGACTATCAGCAGCGAAGGACGTACCTCTTCCGCATGGACAGCCGCACCCCGCGGCCAGTCAGGTTGCAGTCCACAACCAAGCGATCGCCGGCCACCTCCTTGCCGCGAAGGAACAGCGAGAAGCTGGGATTGATGCGGTACTGGTCCAGGATCGCTCCGCCGATCTTGAAGGCGGCCCGTTTGCAAAGCTCCTCCACCGTGTCCTCCGGGTCAAAGCCCACCAGCACCGAGGTGCACTGGTAAAACGAAAGCGTAGTATTACCCTCTGTTTCCAAGCCTTGACATCAAGCGTAACTGGCTCATCGGCGAAGATTCCCCCTACCCATCACTGTGGCAAAAAGGTACGGAAAATTCTGTTAATTTTTTTGCCAGGATTCTCCGTAGCCCTCTTATCAATATTCTCCGTAGGCTCTTACAGTATTCTCCGTAGGGCCGTACAATATTCTCTGTAAGTCCGCACAGTCTTCTCCGTAGGACCTGGAAGACTGTACACTGAAAATTGAGTGGCGAGACTGATGGCCAAAATTTGGTGAGACAAAAAAGTCTCGCCATTTTTTGGCGAGAAACAAAAGTCTCGCCATTTTTTTGGCGAGAAACAAAAGTCTCACCTGACGAGAAACAAATGTCTCGCCAAAATATGGCAATAATTGCAGCCCCACTCTATTTGATACTGGGAAATATATCCCAGTCAAGATCACTCCGGTAAACACATCACTAACTGCAGTCTTTCAATTACTCAAGTCGAAAATAATGCAGGGAGCCATCACTTTCAGTTATGAAAATATTAATGTAAGGTTATATGATGTGAATTTGGTTTGCGTCAGCAAAGCGTTGCCCAACTATTTACTCTGTTTGTCATCGTTTAAAAAGACATTGGTCCAGTGAGTCAGATCCTAAAAGGTCTCTTTCAGTGTCCATGTAGTTAAAGATAATGTATTTGATAAGAGGCCTAAACAAAGCGACATCCATGATGGCACATGTTCTTACTCACTCCTTCACTCTCATTCTAGGAACGTGACATCACGTTGAAACGAACGTGACAAAATGTCACGTTCGTTCGAGCATTGTGTCACATTCGTTTGGGTGTGAATTGGCCGAAAACCAGCTCGTTCACATTCAAACGAACGTGACACAATGCTCAAACGAACGTGACACTTTGTCACGTTCGTTTCAACGTGATGTCACGTTCCTGGAATGAGAGTGTTTGACTTATTCCAATCCCCAGCTAACCTTGCTGCACTTGTGCATTGTTGGAAGTTCCATGGACAGAACTCGGTTAAGAAACTCGAGGTAAGAAAGTTCCGTGCACTATCTAGCACTCCGTTTCGCCGTCTCCACTGGACAAAACGCCAAAACACAGCAGCACCACTTTAAATCGCCAACACAGATATAATAAAGAAAACATTTTAGTGAACAGACAAGTAACACAGCAACAGGGCTGCCACGTTGAAATTCATTTGTTGTCCTCGTTATGTCGTCTGCTACAGTAGCATTTGTTTTGCGGTAGTGCCAACCTGCACTGCCTTCCAGAAATAATTTTACAAGAAAAGAAAAAAAATGTATTGGTTGGCACTACCGCAAAACAAATGCTACTGTAGCAGACGACACAACGAGGACAACAAATGAATTTCACCATGGCAGCCCTGTTGCTGTGTTGCTTGTCTGTTCACTAAAATGTTTTCTTTATTATATCTGTGTTGGCGATTTAAAGTGGTGCTGCTGTGTTTTGGCGTTTTGTCCAGTGGAGACGGCGAAACGGAGAGTGCTAGATAATGCACGGAACTTTCTCACCTCGAGTTCATTAACCGAGTTCTGTCCATGGAATTTCCAACAATGCACAAGTGCAGCAAGGTTACCTGGGGATTGGAATAAGTCAAAGGAGTGAGTAAGAACTTGTGTCATCATGGATGTCGCTTTGTTTAGGCCTCTTATCAAATACATTATCTTTAACTACATGGACACTGAAAGAGACCTTTTAGGATCTGACTCACTGGACCAATGTCTTTTTAAACGATGACAAACAGAGTAAATAGTTGGGCAACGCTTTGCTGACGCAAACCAAATTCACATCATATAACCTTACATTAATATTTTCATAACTGAAAGTGATGTCTCCCTGCATTATTTTCGACTTGAGTAATTGAAAGACTGCAGTTAGTGATGTGTTTACCGGAGTGATCTTGACTGGGATATATTTCCCAGTATCAAATAGAGTGGGGCTGCAATTATTGCCATATTTTGGCGAGACATTTGTTTCTCGCCAAGAAATGGGGAGACTTTTGTTTCTCGCCAAAAAAATGGCGAGACTTTTGTTTCTCGCCCAAAAATGGCGAGACTTTTTTTCTCTCCCCTAGGATGGAATGAATTCTGACCTTTGACTTTTCAGTGTTTTGGCGATACAATTGAGTATCGCCAACAAACGGCATTACGGAAAAGTATTGCCTTAAGAACGGCGATACACAGAAGTGTCGCCAAAACCACAGCATTAAACTAAGGACTTGTCCCCTTGATCTGTTCAGAGTTTATTGCCAAATCGTGGCAATACTCCGAAGTATAGCCAAATTTTGGCGATACTTTCGTGTATCGCCGTTTTGAAGGCAATACTTTTCCGTAAGGCGGTTTATTGGCGATACTCAATTGTATCGCCAAAAAAGGTGCTAAAACTATTGCCTTTGGATTTGCAGTGCAAATGCATGAGGGGATTTCCCGAGTATGCTTCATTTCAAGCGTAATTTTATGCTCGACTCAGACATAGAGTTACGCAAGCTTTACCATTGTGTCGGGACAAACGAAGCCCGCCGGCGCGTCGATGAGTGCGCGCACGCAGCCGCGCTCCCGCATCTCGAGGGAGTGGAGGCAGGCCAGCCCGTGGTCCGACAGCGTGCGGTCCAGACGCAGCTCCTCGCCGTCCCGGAACAGGCCGTGCACGTGGTCGATGTGGCCCGGCACCTTGTCCAGCACGGCCTGCAGCTTGTCGGCGGACTGCGCCACCACCAGCGTCTGGCCCTGCCCGTGCCGCACCTGCAGCCACACCGTGGGCCCCGCCCGCTGCTCGCCGCACACGTGCAGGGTGGCCGGAAACAGCCCCCGCGGCACGGCGCCGGCCCAATCCCTGCACAGCTGCTGCTCGGCGCGCGGGATGCCCAGCTCACGCTCCAGGATGGCCTGTGAACACGGCGTGAAGAAGCAGCACATCAGGGCAACAGCCAACCGTCACTCAAGGTGGGAAGAAGTACCATCCTCATGCTGTGGGGCATTTGTTACATTAAGTCCGATTTTGGTACACGACGACCAATGACAATTTCCTGTTTTTGATGACAGCACTTGATTGTGCTCAAAGTTTGGGTACAGTAGACAAATCAAGCGAGGAACAGGAATCGGGTCCCCGTTGGTTGATGCGAAACCAAAATAATTTGGCTTTCTCTTTTTGTGAATGTTTTTCTCTTTTTCAAAGGTTTTACGTTTGACACAAATTTTGGTCCATCGGATGCGTGTACTTCGTACAGAAAAGTCCAAACTAACATATTCTGAGGGAAAAAAAATTGAAAACGCCGCGCAAATACCACAGGTGCTGAAAAAAAAATTGAAAAACGGTCATTTCTGGGCAAGGGAAGGTGGGGTACCATGTGACGGTATTTGTTCAAGTGCCCGTCAACCCAAAAATACCAATCACATTTCATCCATAAGAAGTCATTAGAACAAAATGATTCTTCACCTTATAATTTCTGTTGAGATTTCTAATTTATCTGTTTTGGTTGCTGAGTTATCCTGAGTTGAATGGGCCTAAGTCAAAGTGTCACTTCGTACCCCACGCAGTACACCATGTGACAGCATTAGTGCACCATGTGACAGTGGCCTATTTTCAGGGTTTAAATCCTATTCAGCGTACCTATACGCAAAGAATGAATGAAGAAGTCTTCCAGCTTTTAATTTTCGTTTTTTATCAATTTATCATCTTTGGTTCGCGAGCAATGAAGGTTTTTGGCTGAGCGATAGCGAAGCCAGTTACTCCAGTGGGGTTGGAAAACTTTTTCTGTCTGTCTGTTTGACTGTGAGTGTACACTACTCCTCCTGAACGGCTCGGCCGATCTGGCTGACATTTTGCAGGCTCATTAGGTATGTTCTTGGCTCGGCACACGCAAAATTTCACTTTCCTAGCTCAACTGGTTCAGTTTTTATAGCCGAAAAACACCTTTAAAAATGGCGAAAAATCGAGTTTTCTGCAGTTAGACATGAGAAAAGGGCGCCCTGGAGTCCCAGCTTTTTCGGGCCGGGACGCCGCCTGGCCGAGGTTTGCACCACTTTGCGGCTAAACGGCTCATCGCACAACATTTCTGACTAGCTCAGAAGATTCAGGAAGGTCTTTTACGTGCCCCGCACTCAAGACTCCTTACGGACACCATGTATCCGCAATACGGACGGTTTTGTGCATGCGTAATGGATGGATTTTGGTTGTAATACGGATGATTTTATCCGTAATACAAAGGTTTTCGTGTCCGTAACATACAGACGAAAATATCCGTATGGTACGGACGTAAAACTCTTTGTAATACGGATGATTTCATCCGTATTACAAGCAAAATCTATCCGTAATTGCAATTGCACAAAAATGTCCGTAATACAGATAGGATGTATCCGTAAGAAGTTTACACTCTCACTTCAGGAACGTGACATCACGTTGAAACGAATGTGACAAACTGTCACGTTCCTTTGAGCATTAAGTCACGTTCGTTTGGACGTGAATCGGCCATAAATTAGCTTATTCACGTAGAAACGAACGTGACACAACGCTCAAAGGAACGTGACAGTTTGTCACATTCGTTTCAACGTGATGTCACGTTCCTGGAGTGAGAGTGTAGTGTGCGGCGTCGTTACATTTTGATTTGGTCAACCGGGGACCGAACGCGGCGAGCCTGAAGGGCGGCAGTGTGGCGCGGGCGAGGGTCTGCAGCGGCTGGCTGCCTGATGGCTGGCCGCCGGCTACCCCCACCCTACCGCTACAGGCCAGTAGACGCCGATTTCTTGGTTCAAACTTGTGTTAGGTGTGATATTACACGCTTAGACGAAGACAACGTGTCGTTTTCACCGTTATTTCTTCTTAAAAGGCACGAAATATTCACCAAGCGGTAGGGTGGGGGTAGCCGGCGGCCTCACCCCTCCTTTCAACGTGATGTCACGTTCCTGAAGTGAGAGTGCATGGAATTCCATAGCGAATGGCAGTAGTGTCACATCAGGGAGTGGCAACGCTGTACACGTATGCTGACGCCATGTTCGACCCCCCCTTAAATCATGGTTCATTTCAAGGAGATACTCTCTGAACCCAGCAAAGGAATCGAATGAAACTTGAGTGCGGCATCAAGTTAAAAGGTCATATTAAAGTAATAATTAAACGAGAGCACACTTACGATCAAATCACTCCTCGTAACCGCATCGCGAAAATAAGAGAAAAATGGGGTTTTGTTAAAATCGCTACAAGAAAAGTGTCTACTTATATTTTCAAAACGTTAATCTTGGAAAGTTTTTGAGTTTGTGAGTTGAAACCTGGCCTAAACACTTCCTCAATTCATATGTTATCGTAATAACGAAACAGCTTGGCTCTAATGGACTTCGTACTTTGAATCTCGTCGAAGTAAACTAATGTGCAAGGGGTGGCCGAACATGGCGTCAAGAAAGATGCAGGGCGTTGCCACCCCCTGGTCACATGGTGCCCAGATCAGGGGAAACAGCAGTAACGCTCAAAGTTTATGCCGTAGAGAATCGAGCCAAAGCTTATTTTGCGCTTAAAACATCAAAGAAGAACATCTTGCCAGGCATATGTCCTTAAAATGTATTTTAAAGGTAAAAAGCGGACGCGGCGGGAACCAGAAAAAGTTTCCAATGAGATATTTTAATACGGTTTCCAATTCTGATCGCTACTATTCCCATCCTTTTCGAAGGAGAGTCGCGACCTATTGCACGTCGATTCTCCTTCATGATACCTTCCTTCGAGTCTTCTTACCGCTGTTGGATAGCAAAGCCGTTTGGGAGAAAAAGCCAAAGTCACATGGTGGCCGTGTCACATGGTACCCCACCTTCCCTTACCTCTGCAGTTACGATAGTTCTACACTCTAGAGTTCTTACGGATTACTTCATCCGTATTACAAACAAATTCATCCGTACCTTACAAACAGTTTTGCGCAAGCGTAATACGGATAGCCTGATTTGTAACATACGGATGGCTTTGTCCGTAACAGATGTAGCTTTGTAACTACGGATAGTCTTACAGAATCCAAAGTAATTGCATTCATCGACACTCGTTATACAAACAGAATTCATAAATTACTCGTTGCCATACTGAGCGGAAACAGATAAGCAGTATATTATACTTTTTAATGCCAATTATCTTTTTTATGCACTAGCAAGCACTTTTACTTTTATTTGGCACATAATAGAGCTATTGATTGAGTTACTTGCTGATACGATAGACACTCTTGGGTAACGGTGGAGCAGGGCCACAGCAGAAAAAGATGTACTTACCGCCCAAATTTGGTGTTGATTATGAAATCACTGCATTTCAATAATCATACTGAGCAACTGTTCAATCTAACCAACCAGTTATTGTGGGCAGTTCCACAAAACATTCTACCATACTCAAGCTATACTGTAAATGTTTTCTTTTGAAGTTGGTGCGCTGGTGAGGTTATACTGTCTGCTGATCTGATACCGTATGCTGGAAGAACCGAGTGACAACAAAAATCACATGCACTGACTTCTTCAGTGTTTGCAAACAATGCCATCCTTGATGGACTTTGGGGTGAGACACCATCGCTGACACCAATTGTGAAGGCCTTAATTGTGCCTAAAATCGGCAGCACAAACAGCGGAGCGGAGTGTTTTTCTAAACACCGTCCCGCTAAACTTTTCATACGTGAAAGTATGAGAAATCCAACATTCACAGTCACCCCTTTGTTTCTGTGTAGATTAACCTCGTTTAGTTTGGTTTAAAATCAGAAACTACGATGATTTGCAAGTTTCTGGTTCATAAAAGTTATTAATTCACTTATTCTTTGAGAAGTGATGCTTGTGTCTGCGAAAACTGGACGGCTGTCAGTCATGTTAACACACACTTATCTGCTGTGGAGGATTGGAGACGTTGGGGGTGCTTTTATTATCACAGGTAAATTCTCTGCTTCCCAACAACATACATTTATAAATATACCAATACTTTTGTTTATATTTCAATTCTTTCTTCAATAAAAATGTTAGGTTAGGTTTCTTAGAGTGTCATTTAATAACTGTTGGACTACGGCCAAAATGGCACTTAGAAGATTTTAGTTTGGATAATCAATAGGTGAATGATGCAATATACAGGAAAAGTACTGTTCTTAGTTTGAAAACTAATGAAACTATATTGCACCTTATTAGTCTTCATATTGAAGTTAAGTTGATGTTAATATGGATTGGTAGGTTCAGATCAGGATTACGGACAAGTTGAGTTGATAATACGGATGGGTTTAGTAGCCGTAATTATGGATCAATAGTTGTGTTTGTATTTACGGATAATTTTGTCCGTACAGAAATTCTCAAAACCTGAAGATGCTTTTTATCCGTAATACAGATGTCAAACTCCGTAATATGGACAAGCCCATCCGTAATTACAATGAATCAATTTTGTCCGTAGCTTACGGTGATGACTTATCCGTAAGAACTCTAGAGTGTAAGTCTGCACTGAAAGTTAGGACTGTCTTAGATCTGCACTGACAGATGGGATTATTCTCTCAGGACGCGTCGAAAATTTACTCACCTTGAGCGAGTCGACGGAGGCGTCTGCAGGCACGGCCAGCATGGCCTGGCGGGTGGGCGTGATGACGCGGAGAGGCACCACGCGGCCCGGCTGGGCGTCCAGCAGGCGCCACTTGAAGCCCTCCAGCAGCGCGCCGCTCTCCTCCGGCCACAGCGCCACGCGCCACTTGGTGCGCCGCACGCCCTGCAGGTCGGCGGCCAGCTCGCCCACGGCGCGGCCCCGCGCGTCCCGCAGCGCCTCCACCAGCATGCTGCGGCCGCCGGTGCTCTCGTCGCGCTGCACCGTCAGGCTGCAACGGGCCACCCTCCGTCAACGACCCGTTGGCCACAAGGCCGGCGAAGGCGCAAAGGAGCGGAGTACGGCTCACTAAATGTTTTGTACAATTTTGTACGAGACATCATAGTTTTTTGTGCACACGAAATTTTCGTGGGGTAAGGTTACCAAACATGGATCACTTTTTAAATAATCTTCTCTATATCGAAATTAAGTATGGGTTGACTACTATTTTTGAGTCTAATGTTGATGTTTACCTCACTGGTCATATAGCTACCAGAAATGGAACCTCTAGCTCGAACACTTTGGAAGTTGTGAGGACAAGAAAATATGACTATTTTTGCTAAGGTTAGGTTAGGGTGGTCCAATCATGGATCACCCCACCAGCGTTTGGACACAAGGCAAGGTATGCATTCAGTAGTCCCAACATATCAAAGTAGTCCGTCGAAAGTGCACGATGAAAAATTTTGAAGTGACTGCGGTGATTGCTTGGCCCAGAATCAGGGGTGCAAAAATCACCTTTTTGAACGTCATTTTTCCATCGATTTTCGGGGGCCTGTTTTAGGTGTCTTTCTAAACGCAACCCTGCAGAGTAGAGAGACGCAGTTGCAAACTTCTCAGATTCACATCGAACAGTCAAAGGGTCAGTCTAAGCAAGGAAAGACAGAAATTCAGAATCTGGTCACCTGGTCTTTAGATAAAGACCGCCAAACAGAAATGATCCATGTTTGGTACCCCGATTCATGTTCGGCACTTTACCCTACAATTTTCGTACGAAAAACTGCACATTTTTTGCCATTTTTGTTCAAAATCGTGCAAAATTTTGTATAAATTTGTTCGAAAAGTTCGTGTGCACAAAAAACTGTGATGCCTCGAACAAAATTTGTACAAAAAAATTTAGTGTGGGTGGCCCAAAATGTTGGCCACTTTCTCGGATGGACCAACGCCGCCCAAAGTTGGATTCACACCAAATGTTATGTACAATTCTGTACGGGACACCACAGTTTTTTGAGCACACGAAATTTTCGTACAAATTTCGTACAAAAAACTGCACATTTTTCATCATTCTTGTACAAAATTTTGTACAAAATTTTGTACAAATTTGTACGAAAAGTTCACGTGCACAACAAACTGAGATGTCTCGTACAAAATTTGTAGAAAAACATTTAGTTAGAATTCTACGTAAAGAAAAAGTGATCTCTTGTCCTTTCCTTTCTTGATCCGATGAATTTAAGTACTGCCTCCAATGCAAGATAATTTTTACAGGGTTCCCATTTTTAAAGCAAAACGTTTATTTGTTTGATTTGAAACGCAAAATACGAAAATAAACCCAATATGTTGTTTCGGATGTTTGCCCTTTCTGTGGGCAGCAGAAATTTTTGACCGAGATGAATAGGATTGGGCGCAAATTAGCGGTTTTATTTCTGGTATTTTGACAGAGTGTTCTACACTGGAATGACAACTTGCTAGGCAAATAAAACCACGATAGAGCGAAAGTTGGAAGGGTTTCACTGAGAATGAATGAGTCACGATCACGACTTAAATTTTGAGCGAGGAATTCTTTATCACCCAAATTTGGGTGAGGAAAGTTCCCTCGCCCAAATTTGGTTCATAATACTATGGAGCCATGTAAACTGATACACCTTTCCTCGCCCAAATTTGGGCGAGGAAACAATACTCGACCAAAATTGGGTATTGATCATGAATCTTTGCCTTTGAAAAATCGTGTTTTGGGCCGACTTTAAGCAGCCTCTGCGTCTGATCCGAGGTGGGCCTTCGTGCTTTCTCAACAGGCATTTGGTCTTTGGACCTTCCTTTAGCATGCCTTTGTTATAGAAGGCGATTACACAGTAAACTTCTTACGGATACATCCTATCTGTATTACGGACATATTTGTGCAATTGCAATTACGGATAGATTTTGCTTGTAATACGGATGAAATCATCCGTATTACAAAGAGTTTTACGTCCGTAACATACAGACGAAAATATCCGTATGGTACGGACGTAAAACTCTTTGCAATACGGATGATTTCATCCGTATTACAAGCAAAATCTATCCGTAATTGCAATTGCACAAAAATGTCCGTAATACAGATAGGATGTATCCGTAAGAAGTTTAGTGTGTATACGCCTTAGTTTGGGAGCAGTATTCGCTCAAAGTTGATCAAAACCGACTTTGAAGCCATTTTTGACCGTTTTGATCAACTTTGAGCCAATACTGCTCCCAAACTAAGGCAGATAATCACTCTCCGTAACAAAGGCATGCTACACTCTCATTCCAGGAACGTGACATCACGTTGAAACGAACGTGACAAACTGTCACGTTCGTTTGAGCATTGTGTCACATTCGTTTGGGTGTGAATTGGCCGAAAATCAGCTCGTTCACATTCAAACGAACGCGACACAATGCTCAAACGAACGTGACACTTTGTCACGTTCGTTTCAACGTGATGTCACGTTCCTGGAATGAGAGTGTAAAGGAAGGTCCAAAGACCAAATGCCCGTCTAGAAAGTACGAAGGCCCGCCTCGGATCAGACGCACAGGCTGCTTAAAGTCGGCCCAAAACACGATTTTTCAAAGGCATTTTTGACTGTTTTGATCAACTTTGAGCCAATACTGCTCCTCCCGAACTAAGGCGCATAATCGCACTCCGCAACAAAGGCTTGCTAAAGGAAGGTCTAAAGACCAAATGTTCGTTGAGAAAGGACGAAGTCCCGCCTCGGATCAGACGCAGTGGCTGCTTTACCGTCAACGGGGGTAACTTGGGACACTTTTTCACGTTTTTTGAACGCCAGAGGCAAGATTCTCAACCCAGACCATTGGATTCTAACTATGTTAATGTTTGACCCTTTCCCCATGTTTTACTGCTTGTCTAGTCCATTTGCCCCGATTATATCGTTTGCAAGCGGTCGAGAAAGAGTGTCCCAAGTTACCCCAAGACCGGGGGTAACTTGGGACAGTAGGTAATTAGCTACATTCCCATGCATCTATTGGTGTTAATGGACGTAATAAATTTTAGTCACAACATGTAGACTAAGAATTCAGGCCTAGGAACTCTTGTAGGACCGATATTGGGCTTTATCTAGGGCTCTACATGGAACTCTCTTTTCTACTGGTATTTTCCAGGCTTTTTCTGAAAATTTCAGAATGTGGATTACCAGACGACAAAACTGCAGAGCAAGGCATCTCTTTCCATCATCAGCGTAAAATCCGAAGTTAAAGTTATGTCAGGGACCGGGTCGGTCAACTCCTAGGAGAATAGGACTGCTGGAAACATGAGGAAAAGACTGTCCCAAGTTACCCCGTAAAATTTCGAATTTTGATTAATTGAAGTCTGGACAGAAGACGGGAAAACTATAATCAACGCCCTTTTGCGAACGTTATTGTCTGTGTATGATCTAAGAACCCAGAGAGACTTATCGGCCAAATCTGCATTAAACTCCTTGCACTAGGGTCAACTTGTCAATGTTCTACATATTTTGTCAAAAACCCTATTACTTAGTTTCCTGTTTCTCAAATACTGATTTTGATCTGATGCACCTTTTCAACCTTTCCTCGCGTGCCCTGAGGCCTCTGAAACAAAACCCTGCCGCGGGTTTGACGCTAGGAACCCCCGTCGCTGAATAGCAGCACCAACGAGCTGTACAGGGCAGACTGTCCCAAATTACCCCCGGTGTCCCAAGTTACCCCCGTTGACGGTAAGTCATCCCGTGGGGTTGCGAAATATTTGGCTACAAATTTGGCGTCGCGAGCTGAAAAAGGGCGAGACCCGCTGCCCTAAACCCAATCAAAGAGCTTAGTGATGTCCGTTTTAGCTCTATCTTCAGCAATATTCTAGGGCATACAATTTTGTTGCATGAGGATGGCCAAGGCAATTTTCACTCCTCGGATACTATTTTTAATGATTTCAGAATACACAAAACTAAAAACGTCTGATGATTCCAATTGACAAGTTACACACTAAATGTTTTAGTAGAAATTATGTACGAGGCATCACAGTTTTTTGTGCACACGAACTTTTCGTACAAATTTATACAAAATTTTGCACGATTTCGAACAAAAATGGCAAAAAATGTGCAGTTTTTCGTACGAAAATTGTACGAAAGTTTCGTGTGCACAAAAAACTATGATGTCTCGTACAAAATTGTACAAAACATTTAGTGTGTATAGAAACAAGCATTTCACTCTGATAAAACAACAATGTGCGTTCAAAATTTATAAGTGTTCGTGGCATTCCAGCTGAAAAAAGTATGTTAATAGGAGTGTAATGGATATCTTCAGTCGCGAACAGAAAACTAAGAAATATAAAATATGCAGGCCAACCCCTAACAACAAAACCGAGAAAACTAGTAGTGCCCGGTGAACTGATGATCGTCGAACAAATTGGACAGATACTGCTACTGCTCATTGTCATTATCGAGGGGGGTATGCGCTCTCTGAACCTGTGTACCGACTATTACGCTATTACGCTCTATTACGCCACAAATTAATCGGAATTTAGCTAAAAACGGCCTAAAACACACCAAAATTGATAAAATTTTGACAATTTCGGCTATTACGCGACTAATACGCGACTATTACGCGTATTATTACGCGTGCTATTACAGATAGAGTGAACCGACTATTACGCGAGTGCATACCCCCTCGGTCATTATGCTGCTTTGCACATCGATGTTGGGGCCAAAAGAAAGGTTCCGACCCGCAGAGGCATTTCATTCATCCCTTAGTAAAATATTTCCAGAGATGTAGTGGATTCAGCAAATGAAAGACCTTCGATTGGCATGTGCACTCCAACATGAAGCTTCATGTTCATGATACAGTTTCACATTCTAAAGA